CACGTCCTGCAGCACTAATGTTCCTCATCAACTTGGTTATTAAATGAATTCTGCTGAATGGAGGCTGAAGCGTGGAAGATCTGAGCTGCAACAGTTTTAAATGAATAAAGTTATCATCCTGTTTTGTGCGTACTCCATTTTCCCTATAATTAAAGTGAAGGCTCACAGAGGAAGTATGGGGACATAAAGACTTATGAAATCTACTCCAGTTGTTGCATACGTGTGTGACCTATTTAGCACCTGCAAATCTGTTTAATGCCAAGAACTACATTAGATAATTCAAGCCAAAGCTCACAGGGAGTCACATAATGAGACGCTTCACATTATTGTCGTGATTAGTCCGTTCCCTTCCCCCTTCTCACTTAGGAAGTTCATTTAGGCAAGTAGTCATTTTAAGAATATGCAAACGCTGATTGCTAGTTTGCTATGGATCTGGCAAAAAGCCAAGCTTCTGTGATGCTGGCTACTATAGGCAGCGTGAAGTTAAATATGCATGACCTCACATAGCATTGATCTATGGGCTCACAGCCGTTCTGCACCTGTAAAAATCCAAGCCTACCAACTATCAGAGTCACTATTCTGTATGCAAAGTGTCTCTAGCGTGGTAGTTGAATCACTTAGCATTTCAGTGCTCAGTGATCATGTAAACTCAGCACATGTTCATTATCTGTCTCTGCTTTGGTCAGGTCTTGAATAAAAAAAGTCCTTTATTTATCCATGGTAAATCCATTACTTTGCTTTTCACAAGCATGTACATATTTCACATGGGAAGGAGGGGAAGATTTCATACTGACAACCTTGCAGTTATGTTAAAATTGGATGAGTCCACTACTATCAAGAGATGGGGAATAAAATGCAATAGTTAGTATAAATAATGTATTTGGCAGCAAGGAATTAATAATGCATTATTAACATCAGGGTAGCACAAGGCAATTGCCTGAGGGCATTGTACATAATAAGGAGTCACAAAAAAGTCAACTATAGCTCAAGGTTATAAATCAGCATCTAAGTAGAATAAAATTTATAAATCCAATAAAATCAGCTTCACTTAGTCTCAATTTACAAATATTTGTATATTATGTAGGATTGACAATTTCTGTATTCTTAAAGAGGTTCTGCAACACTAGACTATCCATAAAGGGGCAAATTCTGACCTCACGAATACCAGAGGAACTCACCACATCATTTTCACTTAAAAATGGAACTTCTAGGATAAGAAATAAATGCCCCCAAATAATAGCAAATGTATGCCTTTACAACAGAAAGGACTGCACAAAGTACTGACTTTTCACTTCGAGCCTCAAGATTTACTTTGAGCCACGTTTTTCTCCTCTGCCTTGTTGCTGCACGGTAGCAGTGGTAGCGAGGGCTCCTCCTCCCTGCACCCAGCGGAGCGACCTCATGGGACCACGGGGCACCCCGGGTGTTTGCCAAGGCTGGGGAGGCTGCTCCGGTCCACCCAGCCAGCGATGCGGCCTGAAGAAACATCGTGGGCCTTTTACTAAAGCTGAAATACCAACTGCAGTGCAAACTTACAATGTCTGAGGGTTACAACTGGCTTTTTGTGGTTAATTTGTGGGTTATTGTCTCCTGCTGGGGGCTCACAGCCAGTCTGCGACTAATCACTGGTTAGTGATCCCAGCCCTATGGAATAAGCATCCTCCATATAGCAGAAATTTTTATTAACAAGTACCGCAGTCCATGACCCTGCAGCTCAAACTGCATGAGGAGGATGACATGGCCAATGCTCTTACCCCAACGTCATCACCACTGCCGTGTTGTTAGCATTTGGTACCCGCTTTGCAAATGCTGTGGGAACTGGTCTGTGGCTGCACAACAGAGGTGTTCCCATTCGCAAAGGTTTGGCACATTTTTTTGTCTTAAATTGCAGAGCAGATATAACAAAACAACTTTTATAACTGTAAAAAGCATTGCTTCCTTATTTGCGGGCCATAGCATATTGCTGTTAAGCATTCAGCTTTGGATTTGTAGTATTTCGGAGAATTCGTTCTAAATAAACAAAACCGAAGGGAGACTGGTAGGTTTAAGCTGACTGAATGTCCTTCAGTGTCGAAACATGTTTGATTTAAGCACAGAAAGATCCATTAATGCCTATTTGTGATCTATTTTTAGAGTAATTCCAAGCAATTACTATTCATATGACTCAAGCACCCAGGCTGAATTCTAGCCAGGCAATAAAAGGAGATTTTTGTAATGCCAGAGAGACTCTTGAGCAGATTTGGAGGAAAATAACAAAGCAACAGTTAGCATGACGCAGCCATGCACACTACCTCAGTTTCTGGAGCTCTTGATAACTTAGGAAACATTCGCACTGGAAAAATCAGACATAAACCAGCACATTGGTGCAGCACTGCTGGCTTTGTAATAGTCCGGGCCTCCATGTGGTTATGGTGCAGGGAGAGGCTGGAAATGAGCTCACCAGTCTCCATTCTCATTTTTTACTCTCAGCAATGAAGCATGTGAGAATTACTGATGTGAAGTTTCCTGCAGAGAAATCAGGCAAGGAGAGATGGACAGATGCATATGCTGGCACTCTGAGAGGTGAATAAATGTTCACAAAATCCCTTGCTCTCCCACACTCGGGATCTTCCTTTCCTTTCTTCCCACGTGAACTTTAAACAAGCCAAAACCTCATTTTTTTTCTTTCCCCAATTCTGCTCCTCCTGACACTCCTTTTCCCCCTGATGTCTAATTTTTGTCTCCATCCTTTCTTGTCCTGTTTCAGGACCCTGCTGGGAATAGTGCTGCAGCACAGGGCAGAGCAGCCGGGCGGGAGGGCTGGGCAAGGCAGCCGCGGACACTCAGTAACCTCTGCCAGATAAGCCCTTCAACATCACACACGTGTGATGCCCCCGATTAATTCTAGATTGATTAATCATTTCTGCAAGGCAGTGGGGGAATGCTGCTGTGTCCAAATGAGGGCAACGAATAGCAGGGTACCTGAGCTAGCCATTGGGGGTTAAGACAGGTTAAGACAGAAGGTGCACAAGAGACCCCTTATCCTTCTGGAGCAGCACCTGGGGGCCAGCCAGGATACCGGAGAGGGTCTAATGGCACCTATGCTTAGACACCTTGGAAGGAGTTGTAGGTTAATCACCTCACAGGGGAAAGAAGTCCTCAGCACAGCGAAAAATTATGCCCTGTAGTCAAGATTTACACTGTAGAAAAATCATTTTAGGCTAAGAAAGCAGAAAGGAAAGAGGCAAGGAAACTAATGACCCCGCTTTCATAAAGCATTTATTTTCTTTTTATTTGAAAACATTATACAGGCATTACATTGCCACAGCCAGTCCATATAGGTGCATGCAAATATCAAAATGGAGAAAGGTTTGTTCAGCTTTTCGATGCAGGATTTGGGGTTGGGATTTTGTTTGCTTGGTTTTGGTTTTGGTTCGTACTTCCATCTGCGGTGTCAAGATTAGTGTGCTTTATTATGGCATTTAACAATAAAATCCTACCCATGGGGTAAAATTTATATTTGTAGCTAGCTCAGGAATACTAAATGGTTTTTAAAAAAAGGAAAGAAAACAATACTACACGCTTGTCAAAATGTTAATAGCACAAGTTAGCAATCTCTACACTATACATTGAAACTTCTTATGACACAGTGGTGCAAAATTTTCAATTGCTTGGTCTATCGTTGTGTGTTTTGAAACTTTATAGCTGGAACAAAGACAAGGTCTGTCTCCCAGTGAAGGTTTTCATCCAGTAGCAGAAAATGACATCAGTCTTGCTAAGGGCTGCTCAGGGCCAGCAGTGTAACAGGCTTCCAGTTACTTCCAGTTTGTTCAGGCAAGGAGCTATACAGAGCTAGAGCTGTCCTACGCCACACAGAGAGTAGCTGCCGGTTAGATAGCCGAACCTTTGCTGGTGCGTACTGAGGTCTCAAACTGCAGAAAACAAGCGGGTAGAAGTAATGTTTTCCTTCACTAGACCTCAGGTTTTCAGTCAACAGTTACTTGTAAAGCTATACTACTGTTTTCCTTTGAGGTCCATCCAGCACTAGCACGCTGGTGCTAATCCAAGTATCCCCCTCGTTTAATGGGAGACACGGACGGCGAAGCAGCCCCACTTTGCCCATCGAACCCCTCCTGCGCGAATAACACAGGGGACGGTGGCTGGGCGCAGAGCGCACGCCGAAACATTCGTAACTTACTCCCGTACAACTGAGCCTTTTAAAATAGCCTATAAAAATGGCTTCAGACGGCACCTCTCAGCCACCCGTGGGGCGCAAAGCCTTGTCAGTAGGAACTCCCAGCCCAGGGACCCGGCCGGGAGATGCCTCCTGCCCAGCTGTTTCTGAGAAGACTCTAACAAACATCTACAAGTTAGTGTCAGAAAAATGAGGAGGGGGAGGCGGAAGGACTACAAACATTTGGCTTAAAAATAAATACTAAAAATGAAATTAACCAAAACAATTATGCAAAAGGAAGGAACTGTAAACATGAAACAAACACACACGCACGCAATCCTCAAAGTTCTCAGACCAACACGGGGACTAATGTTCAGAGAAAGGTATTTAATTGGTATAAAAGGTAGCAAAAAAGACTGAGATGACAGGTGCCCACCAGTGTGCCTCTGGGTACCTGAGGGAGCCGTGGCGGTTGCAACCAGAGCCCCTGCTCCTGGGGAAAGGACGAAACCCACCTCCAGTCGAAGCTCTCCCAGGGCTCGACCCGAGGATGCTTGCTGGCCCCTGGGCACGAGGGCTTCCCCCGACCATGCGCTTCCCACCTGGACTTCCACCCCACAGACCTTACCCTGAAGTATCGGGTAATCCTTCTTGTGTGGCTTTTAATTTTGTTTTCTTTGAATCCCGTAGGATTTAGACTTTCCTTAATATCCCCAGAATACGGACTCTGTTTCTCTGTAGGAATCTTTTTTTTTTTTTTTTTTTTAAATCCTCAATGGTTTAAGAGAAAAAGCTTGGAAACATGAGTGCTAAAATGATTAAATAAACAGAAGGCAGGGGAAAAAAAAAATCATACATTTGTTATGAGTTTAAAACCAAGCCATTTTAACCAAGGTTTTTGGGCTGGTTTTGGGCATGGTTTGGCAATACTGCAGACCCTTCCCTCAGCTGCAGCAGGATCGTGGCAGACAGCCTAAACACGGTGGAACAGAAATCGCCTCTTCTCCTCATCCACGGCAAGAATAAGATACAACATACTTCTGCTGTTCAATAGCGTTTTGGCATTTGCCACTTCATGTATATTATGCGTACATACTTCTCCCAGTCTGCTTCAGGGAAGTCCCTTCTATATTAAAGCAGAACAGGACTATAAAAGATGAATGTTACTTCAGCAGAAATTCATCCTGCTTGGTTGAACTGTGTGGCCTTTCTAATCTCCAGAGTACAGATTGATTTTTTTTTTCTTTTAAAAATAGAAATAGGTAAGTTGTATTTTTCAAACATGAAGCCCTACATTTTTGCTTGTGACAGACTTCTTCAGCAGAATAACATTCAAATCAAATTCATCTTCTATGCCCACAAGCAAAATATTCATCAACCCTGCCATAAACTCCATTTTCAAATACAACGAATGTATTCACACTTTTACAGCACTGTTGTGTACTTCGTAAACTCCTTCCTTCTGAAGAAGGAAGCCTGAAGCATTTTAAACTAACTTGGTCCCATAGCACCCCTGTGAGGTAGGTAAAATATCATTGTTCCCATATATACAGACTGGGAAACTCAGCCACACAGAAGGTTAAGTCATGCTCAAGGATCACGCAGAGATGTGGCAGATCCGTGAATAAAACCAAGCTCTCCTGGATCCCTCTCCTACCTGTCAGACATAAGATCATCTCTCCTTCCTTAAATTAAAAATAGATGATGGATGTTGAAATAATGATTTCCTCTTATTGGGCTCTCAGAAGAGCAAACATACAGGCAGAGATGGATTTTTCATGGTGGTGACTAAGATTTCCCCTGTTCTGATAAGGCTCCTGGAGCAGAAGTACAGTTGTGGAACACACTCTTACTATTTTCACATGTCCCCAGGAATGTAAGAAAACTGCTGAATTCTTCTGCTAGTTTTGTAGTTAATGAAAAATAATTGCCTGCACCCTGCTGATATGAATGCCTTTATGCTACTGCAGCAACACCAGCAGATGGTCCAGTCTTTCTGCTCATGAATTCCTCACTTAATCTTCCTGATTTTTACAATTTGTGGGTTTGGGGGAAAAACTGACACATTTCTAAATAGCTATTGTTAGCATAATGAACCACAGGAGACTAAGCAAACTGGAACAGCAGAAGGCGCCCTCGATGCACTGAGTATCTAAAATAAGTGCCCTGATCCACACGACATGTCATCTTACCATGGAGAGGTACAATACATAGGAAACTAGAAAATGCGTTTTTCTTTTTACAGATTAAAATTTAAAAAGTAAGAAATCTGTGTTAAGTCACGACTACAGAGAAACTAACTCCCTGTCACCTGATGCAGAACCTCAGCCGCTAGGAAATCTGCCATGGATCATAGAGAGGTCAATGCTTGAGTACTTCACTGCTGCAAATATAGAAAGGCTAAAATGCTCGCCTTATACCTATTCCTAGAATAGAGACGGATATTGTAAGTTGTCCCTTCTCTGGATTCATGGAACAGATTACCTAGAAAGGGCAACTAGACAGATAGCACAGATGAATTCATTGTCTTACCCTCACGAAATCCAAGGTGCTAGCAAAAATGTGTCAGGGTGTTGCTACCACGAGTAACCCATCTATTTTGTGCAAACAAACAAATCTTAGAGAGAAATTAACAGTGACTGCACAAGTGTATTTGCTGTAAAAAGGTGGCTTTTCCACAACTGGTGTGGCTTAGGCATAATATCACTCACTGGGTGCAATAACACCCTTCTATGAATTTCTTTTTGTAATTTCAGCTTAGATATTGAATATCTTTCGAAGGTAGTTTGACATTAACTGATTCATATACAGCAGTTTGTATTGCAAACATGCTGCTCGTATCATAAACGAGGGACTGGCATCTCCTTGCAATGAACACCCTGGAACGAGTAGTTTGTATCTTTATGAGCTTTCCTTATTTGCTACCTTGCAGCTCACCGGTGTAACTGCACCTGGTAAATACCTTTCTCTATGTACAATACAGAGATAATGGATATACGAGCTCCACTGAATCATCAGCAGGTGATCAACAGCCCTGGGTTTAAGCGACTCTAACGTGAGGCTCCTCTTCTGTCTCCTGCCCCAGGCTGGTGTATGTTACCGAAGGCTCCAGCTGGCCGGTGGCTGGCAGGTCTACAACAGGTCCTGAAGGGTTTCGAAACTGCTTGTACACCCGAGGATCCTGGGCTACGTAGGTGGACGTGGAGGAGTAGAGCACCAGCCCAACAAGGATAGTGAAGAATGACAACAAGTAAAGTCCTGAAAACTAAGCAGAAATAAGAGTAGAGTCATTAGACACAGCACCGGTTATCCCGAGCTCATGGAGACCCACAGACACGGGTAGGCACAGATCCTTGTTTTGGCACGCACCGCACAGAACAGACCTCCTGTCACTGGGATGTCGACTTTTTATGGGAATGTCTCTTTGGAAGCCGATTTGCTCCCATCAACTCCCCTGTCTTCCACAACCAACAGCCAACCAGTGCCTTCCCATGGCCCAGGCATATTAAGTATTGATCAGGTGGGACTTGGGAAAGCTGGGCTCTGGTCACAGATCCAAAGCTGATTTTGTTGTGCTTTTAGACAAGCCAACCACTTCTCTGAGTCCAAGTTTCTCTAGCTCCAGTGTGGGGTACTCTCATCTACAGCTGTCTGACAGATAGTGGACAAATTTGCAGTTAATTACAGCTAAACCATACGTCTGCGAAGTATGACATGCTGTTGGTAATACAAAAATATAATTAAATAAACATTTAAATACGCATTTAAAACACATATATTTTTTAAAAAAATATATTTTAATAAAGGCACTTAAAAAGCCCACCTGCAACTTCCCTTGCTTGTAAACAGAAAGCAGACACTAAAAGATTTAATGTGAGTTTGGACAGGATGAACTTCAGCTGTGACACATGCTCTGGGTTGACCTCAAGGAATTTGGAAGTACGTATGGAGGGCAGTTAACTGAAAGCTCAAGTACCCATATTTTAGCACCCAGCTCCTCTAGATCAAAGGTCAGCCTGAATTTTCTGACACAGCCAAACTCAGTGTGCCTGGACTAAAAATACAACACAAATAGCCTTTTTGGCAATACGTTAGTCCTTGCAGATAAAGGTAAAGGCAAAAGCAGGGTTTCAAAAGCACAGACCACTGGATATCAGCTTTAGATACTGGGTTCCTCCTACGGGAGACACAAAAATGGCTTTAAGCCCTAGACTACAAATAATTGCTTCTTGCATGCTGTATGTGAGAAGCCATGAAGGACAAATTGCAGGGCCAACTTGTTGGTGGGGATACAGAACCGATTTGTATTCAGTGGGACTTTAAAAAGTGCCTGTATTCTGCAACTGTCAGGGATCCGTACTTGAACACCAACAACTGGCTGCAACCTGTTATTAGCTGCTCTTCATGAGGTACTTCACTATTTTACATGTTTTTTTAATCCTGACTATGCTTTGACAGATGCCCAATTCGTTTCCTCTGGATCACTTTAGCACAGCACAAAACGGATAGACTGGACTATATTGTAATGGAAGCTTTTTAGCAATCTGCCTTTTATATTTAAAGAAATAATCATTGTGGAGAAAGCAAATTTTACTTAAGCTAACTTTGTAGCTATGTTAATTCGTTGCCATTTAATAAACCTACAAAACCTGCGTCCAACTTCCCGCCTGAGGAAGCATTTGGCTTTTTTACAGAATGCACAGTATCTTTGAAAGCTTTGGACATATGACCCATGGTGATATATCTGTATGTGTTTTTGTTTCCCACAGCTAGTATGCAGGTTTTAGAGGGAAAGGACCATAATGGGGAGAGTTTAAAGTGTGTCAGAAGGATTACAGGGTAGGAAGAGTTCTGCTTTTCATCAGCTGTTAATTGCTTTTTCCCAGGAGTGTCACCAGGTCTTCACGTGTCATCTGGCAGTGCGATTTGATGTAATCATCCAGCTGTCCCACCAGCCGCAAAGACAGTGTCGAGCCTCTCACCCTGCGACTGCTGAGGATTCCTCCCATGTGCCAAAGCTCTGAAAGGACTGTTTAGGCTTAGGTCTCCCCCATGTGGCAATCAAATCCCAGTCAATCGTTTCAAAGCATTTTCCAATTGACTTTTTTCCCCATTTTCAGTTCAATTTTGCTCTCAGCACTTCCCCCCCGCTTCGCATGTGAACTTGGGTACCACTTGGCAGCAGTGGACTTGACTAAGCTGAAGCAAAACTCAGGAGCCAAATGAATCTAGTTTCCCAAGCTGGGAACTAGTTCCCTAGCTTCCCACTGTCCCTCCTTCCCACCTTATGCCTGAATTTCTCACCCCGGACAGCCAGCTGGCTTGCTCCACTATATAACCAGAGTGCCAGCCAGACTTGTGATTGCCTTGTGTCCTGCTGTGAGGAATCTGTGGGTCTTCCAGCAGCTAAATGTGCCCTTTTTCTTGCTCCAGCCAAAACCAATTCACTTTCATTTTAGTTCGTGGCTCCAGCTCTACCATATCCCCCTCCTCCCGGCCATAGCTCTCGTTCCTCTCTCAGGGGCTTCCTGCCAGTGGGCTCTTTTGCTCGATAATATTCTCTCCACGGCAGTATGTCCCCCAGTGGCAGCTCTCCAGCCTGGGAGAAAGGGTTTGGATGAAGCTGGGGGAAACCTAAACAAAGGCCTGTGAATCATTTGTCTTTGGTATCTATGCACAGCTAGTGCAAAGAGACCTGGATCCTGACAGCCCTATAACAATTCCAACTTTACCTTCCTTAGAAAGAAGTTAAGGTTCAGGCCGAATTGTTTTCTGCAGCGGCTCTCTGCAGCACTGAAGTAGAAGGGTTGTTAGTAAGGTTAATATGGGAATATATACTGTAGGTGTATGAGAAATCTCTGGGTTTTGTCAATACTCTGTCATATTGACCAAAAGTCCCTTGAAATCAATGGGTATTTTCCTCCTATTAAAACAGCACGGAATCCAGCAGTGTGATGGGAGGGTGCAGATTTAGTTCATCAAATACAAAATCTGTTGTTCACTGTACTGTGTTCCTCAGACTCTAGCAGAAATCTTTGTATTTTATTGAAGATAGGACTTCCAGGCACACTCTACTGCAACGTCTACACGTAGGTTTTGGAGTTTTTTTATCTCGACCTGCAAACCTCGTATGCTGAGATTCACTATTAATAGACAGAAAAGAGACACATTCAAAACCAGCAGAAAGAGCTACTCCTAAGAAATGAAGTGAGAGAAGGTAATTTTTCATTGCTACCCTCTACACAACTCCAGTACCAAACTGCAGGCCCTCAGGAGGTGTGTAATTCCTCTCTGGGTCTAAAAAGCTACTTGAGAATGATTTTGTGCTTCATTTTTCTGACTTCTCTCTCAGTGTCTACAGAAACACATTTCCTCTAAGAAAAATATTTTTAAAATATCCAGATTTGTACGTCTCTCCAAATCCCACTTCCCTCCATGCTAAACAAGATAACTGTACGCTGCTCAAAGAGTAACATGGTCAGAAATTGTTTAGCTCAGATTAGCTAATGGGTGTCACACACCCTAGAGTAAGCAACCAAACAAATAACTCATGTTTCTATATCATTAAATAATTTTACTATAGATTTTGTATCTACATATATAGGTACATATGTATATAACTTGCTTATCATGTAGTTTACTGAGATACCAGATGACTTTGTGATTAAATCAATGATCTAACACTCTCGAGACCTGGGATTGATTTTCAGCCTATGAATTTCTTTTCTGAATCAAAATGATTATAGATGACCCTCAGTTTCTTACACATTTAAGAGACAGTAACACTTGGTTACTGAATAAAGATGGGTCTACAGAATAAAAATGGGAAATAGGGATATCATCCTCTGAGGAGAAGGCAGAGGCCTCCTTTACAGAGAAAAACTAAGTGTCTTAGTTACAATGACATTTCAGAGTTCGTCACTGACATGAAAGGCATCTGCCAAAACTTACTGAGCAGTCAAATTAAACAGCTAAATCAGCCCTACTGATCTCACCATGGCTGCTCTGCTCTGACATCTGGGTGTCTGTAAATGCTTCTCCAACTGTAAGTATTCAATATGGAACATGCAAGGACATGGACATGTTGGAGCAAGTCCAGAGGACGGCCACAAAGATGATCAGAGGGCTGGAGCACCTCTCTTATGAAGACAAGCTGAGAGAGTTGGGGTTGTTCAGCCTGGAGGAGAGAAGGCTCTGGGGACACCTTATAGCAGCCTTACAGTACCTAAAGGGGGGCTACAAGAAAGCCAGAGAGGGACTTTTTACAAGGGCATGTAGTGACAGGACAAGGGGTAATGGCTTTAAACTGAAAGAGGGCAGATTTAGGTCAGATGTAAGGAAGAAGTTCTTCGCTGTGAGGGTGGTGAGGCACTGGGACAGGTTGCCCAGAGAGGTTGTGGCTGCCCCATCCCTGGAAGTGCTCAAGGCCAGGTTGGATGGGGCTTGGAGCAACCTGGTCTAGTGGAAGGTGTCCCTTCCAACCCAAACCATTCTATGAATCTGTAATTCTGTGACTTCAAAACATTAAAAAATTAGGAAAATGTAAAACATGTGTCTTCTCTAGATGTTATTGAGAACCTGTGGTGAAAATAGCTTACAGTAAACTACCATTAATTTTCAGTGAAGCTAAACATACAAAGCAAAACCTAGACAAATGTAACAAGATAATATGTATAACAAGATTTGCTCAGTCCATCAAAAGCCACACTGATTCTGGATGAGTGGATGTTTCTGGTATTTATTTAAGAGACATTCCTTAGGGACCCAGTACTTGAATGCATTCCCCCAGCCAGGCTTAGCAGAAGAGCTAATGACATCTGATGGCTTTAGCTGCAGAAGCAGGGGTCTTACTCCTCACTCCGATATGTGCTACTGCAGAACCCTGCCAGAAAACCACTGCAGCAGCAGTAAGGTCTAGCTGACCACAGAAAATAAATGGTGAAATCAGTCTGACTTTGTCATCCATGCACAAAGACTTTTACATTAAAAAAGAAGAGAACCCAAACACATCTGCAGTGTTGTTTGGGTTTTTTTTTAAAATAAAATACCTTACAACAATGCTACATACAATTGTGGATGAAGTTTACAAAACCCATTTGAAATTTAGTTTATATACAGTACTTTTGTTCCAAGTGTATCAAAATTACGCATTTTGGGAGTAAGTCAAGTATCACAAGATTTCTAAAATACAGAAGATGCACATAAAAGCATTGGAAAACTTAAGATTTTTAAAGATCCAGCATGAACTATTAAGCCTTTCAAAAT